AATGCAGCATCTTTAGGTTTGAAATTAACATTACTAAGCCCAACCCTTTTAGGTTTCTCTGAATATGCTTTCTTGGGATGTGCTTTTCTTGAATGTGTTGTGCGCCAGGCGTTTGGATCCAGTTTTTATCATCAAGGCTGAACCGAGCAAAAACTGTTAGGTCAGCTAATCTTGCAGCTACAGCTTCGCCTTTGGGGCACAGTCAGTTCCACGATTAATACAAACAGTTGGTTTTATAATTTTGGTTAAACTTACGGCAGACAAGTTACATTTGTGGGTTACAAACTTACAAGCTTTGTATTAGTTAATATTGCCTATTAGGCAAAATACTAAATGCCTCCAAGAAGCACATATTTATTGCTTATTAATCCCTCTGGTTCTGGCCATCACACAGTGCCCATACATATACTCCAACACATTCTTAATTAATTGAGTCTGCTAATTAGAATGGTCCAGCATGCCTCGCCATTACATGTATTCAATGTCCTGTGTTTCAAAATGACGGTGGGGCACTTTAACTAATGCTTGTTTGATGAGTTTTATTTGAAGCACTGCCGTGGCTGTTTTGAAATGTGGGAGACTAAATACACACGATGCTGTGGCATTTTAATTAGAGCAGCTGCCTGGGAGCCATTCTAACTAAACCACCCACCTCGGACCCTGGAGTATGTGCATAAACACCCTAAATTATATCCTGCTCTTTGTAGCAGTAGTTTCCTTTCTCCAGGTATTGCAGGACCAGTATCATGCTGGCACTCCTGAGTGTGGCCCTGGGGGCAGCCTAGTGTCCCCCTGCAGCCCTTCTGGCCAGGAGCTCTTCATCCTGAGGCCTGCAGGGTTAGACTTCCCGGCTTAGCTCAAACCCAGGCTTCTATGCCATCTCCAGGTATAGCATGCTCACAGGCTATCTTCAGCAGGCAAACCCCCTTCAAGGCTCCTTTCCCTTCCACTTCCAGAGGCAGACTTTTGCTTCTGGCTCTAGTCAGGGCTTTATATTCAGAGACCCTGCCCCCTTCTGGTCACGTGCCTTATCAGTTAACCTATTGGCAAGGCTGCTTATTAACCCTAGCCTGGCTGGCTGCCTTTGGCTGATTCACAAAAACCCTTCCCTTAAAGGGATCATTCCACTTTTCTGTAACAGCATAAGGTTTCCCTGTTACACTTGGATGTATGGTGACCCTAATTCTCCCTATGGTCAGAATGATATGGACTGTGGGGGGTTTTGCCTTCCTCTGTAGTATAGGGTATGGCTCTTTACCCAGGATTTCTTGCACCTATCTTGACAACATTTCATAAAAGCAGGGCACTGATTGCCATTTTTCCCCTGGTTCACCTGTGGCAGGCTTGTTGTTTTAGGGTTGATGGTAGTCTTATGTAGAGTTTATATTATGATTTCTATGGGATGGTTTGGATAGGTGTGATCCTGCCTTAGGCAGGGGGTTGGGCTAGATCAGTGGTTCTCAACCTTTTTGATACTGGGACCCATTTGCAAAGATTGATGGCTTGTCCCATCCCACACACCCCTCGCCCTGCCGGTGCCTGACCCACAGTGCCCTGACCCCCTGCCCTGCTACAGCCTCAATACCTGGCTACCCGGCCACCTACTCCCAGTGGCAGCAGGCACCTGCCCCCCTCCACACACCCATCCCCTCCACACACACGTGCACACACTGCCACCCCTACTCCCCAATGGCAGTTGCCAAGCCCTGGCCCTTCAACCCCTGCTCCCCATATACTTACCTTCATCCTGCTGCTGGGGCTGCTCCCATTACCCTGCCTGGCTGTGTGCTGGCCATGCCCCAAGCAGCCCCTTCCAGGCTGGAACGTTGTTAGCCTCCAAGGGAAAACCCAAATTTTTGCACATTTTTCTGGCACTTGCTCATGACCCTTTGAAATATTCTTGCAACCCACTTTTGGGTCACAACCCACGGGTTGAGAAACTCTGGACTAGATGATCTCTAGAGGTCCCTTCCAGCCTTACTTCTCTATGATTCTGTGACGCAGCATTAAACTGAGTTTGTGTTATATTGATGGAACAGTTGAGGAAATAGGAAAGTGATCAGTATCTCTTCCATAAACAGCCACGTTTGGAAGAAATTAAATATTAGATGGGAATAGCTTTTGATGTCCAACAAGACTGGAAGGGTGCTCCAGCAGAAATTGGTTGCACGTATATCTTACCGGGGAGCATCTAGATTCTAGCAGTGATTGTTTTAGGACCTGGTAATTGATAGGGTCATGAGAGCCTCTGTGTTGCTATTCAACAAGCACACACTGCGATTGTCATTATTTTCAGAGAAGTTTTAATTGACATTTTAGTTAATGTATCCAACCCAGTAATATTTAATTAGGGTTTAATTTTGGGATGCTTTGCAGTTTAGAAAACTAATTCTACTGTGTTTTTACTTTATACAGTAGTTAATCTGAGTACCATTTTACTGTCATTATGAATAGCTGCAAGGCATTTTGATTCCTATGAATCTGTGCACACTTAAGCTTCAGATTTGATCACTTTCAGTTGTACTAGCATATGAACTGATTGCAGAAAGACTCATTACTGCCGTTTCCAATAATCAGAAAGTGCTTCTAATATGTGTTGTTCAAGGTAAATGCATACAAATGGTCAACTACATACCTCATCTTCCATTTGTACATGTACACTGTTACAATTAGCTTTATATTTAGTTATGCACACTTCTTTACAATGAAAAGCTCATTTTTAAGACTGCCAGTTTTAGATAGTTTTTAAAGACATGCCTGAAATAGATCTCCAAATGCTTTAGAACAATTTTCATAAAAAGTTTTTGGAACACATTCCATACAGCTCCTATATGTGTAGCTTTTCAGAAAACTTGACAAATGTGCAGTTTTACATTTCTGAAGCATCGCAAAGTGTTTTACAGTATGCAAATTTTGAAATTACCTGATGCATTTATAAAGTAGGATGACGCATGTTTTCAACTACATACATATCCCTAAAAACTAAGAGACCAGGAAGTTAACCATACACTTCTTGAATTCACTTATTGTATCATCAATATTGATATAGTAGAGAAAATTACCCTGCCTTCTACATAGTACCAGGGAAGCCTTCTGTTATGTGAGTAATATACCGAAGGTAGATGTTTAATAACATTAGACCTTTTCCACAACACATCCAGTACCTTTTTATCTCTTTATCTTTTATAAAATTAGTTTATTTAGCCAGAATTGTGATTAAGGAGCATCAGCTCTTTTTTTGTTTCAACATCATATTTCCAGGGTAACCATTTGAAATCCGTTACACAATTTCACCACGCAACATTACTTCTGGGCATTTTTTTTTAGAATCTCTCCAGGATACGCTCTACAATTTGATAGAAAGCTGTATCAATTGTAGATTTCTTTAAGTTAGTTGATACATTGTTTCAGCTTTTGTATGTTGGCCTTTGTTGTTAGAACTAAGGTGTTGAATAGTGCATGTACAGTTTAACTGGAAACAAAACCTCATTACTTTTGTGTACTAGTATTTGTTTACTGGTTTTCTTTGTTTCAAGGTTTGGATTTATATAAATCCCAGAAGTCCAAACAATTGTGATCAAACCTTAGTGAAATATGATTGTTGCATTAAGAAATAGCAATTTTTCATAAGTGAAAGACTCACTCCACAAACATATATATGCTTCTCTCCAACAGGCTAGGTAAGAAAGGCTTCTTATGAGGAGAGACTGGCGGCAATAGTTATGAGCTGCTACTCTTATCTCCTCCTCAGCCGTATCTCAATTACTAAACTTCTTGTCCATTTTTTAGTAGTTGCACTCAAGCTACTGAAAGCATAGGATAGATTGGGAATACACATTTTTACCATATTGTCATCCAAGCTTCAGGTATAAAAGTATTCTATACCATATTTATCTGCATACCACATACCCGTGAATAACTTATGCACCTTTTTCTAGTGAGGCAGAACAAAGAGTCCTGTTATCACCTTCACTCCCCTCCCCTAGCTGCTTTGCCAACATCAGTTGTCAATTCAGCAGCAGCTGTGAGAAGGTTAAACCTGTAGCTGGTTAGCCCTGCAGCAAGGAGAGGGGGACATAATGCTGATGACACCTGCTTCAGGTGGCTGGAAGGTTCAGTCTTGGGTTAGCTGATCCTGAGCACATCCCCCTGCCACCATTCTAGCAGCCCCCCATATCCTTTCCAGTATAGAAATCAATTTACTTGCACAAGAAATGCATCCCAGTTTAGGATGGCAAATTTTGAAGGGAAAAGTGCATCTGCTATGCAAATAAATATGGTATATTTTGCAAATCAAGCTAATGAACCCTTAGCTAGACACTTTATTTGTTGGCTTGACTTTCAAGGGTGCTGGGAACTCAAGAGTTATCAGTGAAGTTGGTGCCTTCAGCCTCTCACAGATGATAAAAAAGATGATTATTTCAGTGGGAACTGCCAGAAATTTGGGAGGTATGATGAATATGAGAAGTAAGGGAATGCCTTAAGCACTCACCTCCTCGGGTCTGGACCATCCTTAACTTGAATATATGTTTGACTTAGAATCTGAAACCATATTATTGCTTTTGCTTTATCTTATTTTGTATTATGCAGCTTATGCTGACCTTCTATATTCAAAACAACACTAGTACTCAAAAGTCAGCATATAAAAGTTATCCCAAAATTAAGTTGGAAGTAGAATAGGAAGGGCTTTGGCATTTAAAAATGTTAAATATTTGGTTTTCCCAGAAAAAAAAGTTTGTTAATGTATAAAAGGAAACCGCTTGATTTCTTGCATACACATTTGGCTAATAATAATTATGATTTAAAAAAAACCCTTTCCTACTTTGCATCCTTGTACTAATAAAATTGCTTTACTAAAGATTTTTTTAATGAAGAGCTAACATACACATCACTCCATTTTTCATTATGAACCACAGCATGATTAGTTTAAATAAAAAATTAGTTTATGCTATTAAATTAATATAATATGGTAAAACTAACTTAATTGTTTTCTGTTTTAGATTTTGACAGAACAAGTATGCACACAGGTTGTTCACAAACCACATCCAGAGCCAGATTCTACAGTGAAAATTCAGAATCCAAGTAAGGAAATTATACTATGTTTGTATTGCATCACTGGTGACTAGATTTTTTTCTTTTTAAACAAAATGCTATTTCTTATTTCCGCAACAGTTCATTGCTTTGGGAACGTCAAAGAAATTTGCTTTTATATGTGGCTTTTGTTATTGCTTCAACAACTGTTTTTACATGGGATTTAAAATATGTTTTGTGACATATATTTGCTCTTTTAAAGTGATTCTTAAGGTGGTGGCAACGTTGTTAAAAAACTCCACACCAAGCGCAGAGCTGATGGAAGTCCGACGTTTGTTTTTATCTGATATGATAAAACTTTTCAGTAATAGCCGTGAAAACCGAAGGTATGTAAATTAAATATTATTTTTCATACTCTAACACAAATAGGTTTCGCATCACTACACTAAATATTGTATTTTGGGATGTTCATTGTCTTTATATTATACAATTTTATATAAGCTGCAGTAAAAATATTTAAAGTTATAAAATATGGTTTGGGCAAAGAGTAGTTAATTTTAGGTGAGCAGTTAACAGTTTTGTTTTGTTTTGAGCATATTTTACTAAATCTTTTAAGATCCTGGATTTAAAGACAAAGTTATCTTATTAGCATTACTTTGACCTTTATGGGAAGACAGTGTATTTTAAGACATTTTCATTTTGTTTTACTCATCTTCATTTGAAAAATCCTAAGGGATTGAATTTTATTTGGATATATTTTGACCTAATTATTTCACTTTAGATGTTTACTTCAGTGTTCGGTGTGGCAGGACTGGATGTTTTCTCTGGGATATATTAACCCTAAGAACTCAGAAGAACAGAAGATCACAGAGATGGTGTACAACATTTTCCGTATTCTCTTGTATCATGCAATAAAATATGAGTGGGGAGGCTGGAGGGTATGGGTTGATACCCTTTCTATAGCCCATTCCAAGGTAAGAATTAGTTTCTGAATTTTCTGTTGGTTCAAATATCTCAAGTTAAAGGGCTAGCAATACCTAAGATACAATATAAAGTAATTTAGTGCCATCTGGTGGATACTGTAGGATATTTCAGGTTAGCATTTTTTGCTTATCAGTGCAAGTTCTATTCTGTGAAATGTTTTGTGAATTAAACATTAATGGTGCTGATTTTATTTTTCTTAGTTGAAGTTGTAGATTTTCATCTGAAATTTATAATCTGTCCTCTTCTGTTTAAGGTCACCTATGAAGCTCACAAGGAGTATCTTGCAAAAATGTATGAAGAATATCAGAGGCAAGAGGAAGAAAACATAAAAAAGGGGAAAAAGGGGAATGTGAGCACTATCTCAGGCCTTTCATCTCAGACAACAGGAGCAAAAGGTGGAATGGAAATTCGAGAGATAGAAGACCTTTCACAAAGCCAAAGCCCGGAAAGTGAAACAGACTACCCTGTCAGCACAGATACCAGAGACTTGCTCATGGCTACAAAGGTGTCAGATGATGTCCTTGGAAATTCTGATAGACCAGGAGGGGGTGTACATGTAGAGGTTCATGACCTTTTAGTTGATATAAAAGCTGAAAAGGTAGAAGCCACAGAAGTAAAGCTTGATGATATGGATTTATCACCAGAGACACTGGTAACTGGAGAAAATGGGGCCCTTGTTGAAGTTGAATCCCTTTTAGATAATGTATATAGTGCTGCTGTTGAGAAACTCCAAAACAATGTTCATGGGAGTGTTGGTATCATTAAGAAAAGTGAGGAGAAAGATAATGGGCCATTGATAACACTGGCCGATGAGAAAGATGAACCTTCCACTAACAATACCTCATTTCTTTTTGATAAAATACCCAGCCAAGAGGAGAAACTTCTGCCAGATCTTTCCAGTAATCACATTTCTATTCCAAATGTGCAAGATACTCAAATGCATATTGGTGTAAGTGATGATCTGGGATTGCTTGCTCATATGACTGGTAGTGTAGATATAACATGTACTTCAAGTATAATAGAGGAGAAGGAGTTCAAGATTCATACAACTTCAGATGGAATGAGCAGCATTTCGGAGAGGGAATTGACTTCATGCAAAGGATTAGAATATGCTGAAATGACTGCTACCACCCTGGAGACAGAGTCCTCTGGTAGTAAAAGTGTACCTAATGTTGATGCAGGAAGTGTAATATCAGACACAGAAAGATCTGATGATGGTAAAGAAGCAGGAAAGGAGATAAGGAAAATACAGACCACCACTACAACTCAGGTAAGTTACAAGTGCTATGCTTATATCAATAGATAACACTTTTACTTTTTTGTATCCTTGTGACAAGGTATTTAGCAGAATTTGCAGATTTGTTGGAATCTGATGGCTGTGCTGTGTGCGTTTCTGCTGCGGCCTCGAACTTGCGACCTCTGGGCTGTCAACATTGTGCCTTAGGTCCGCTCCATTACTGAGTACTGGATCATTTAATCAGGGCTGAGAGAAATCTTTAAACACATTTTTGCTTCCATTATACCAGACAAATCTGTCTTGCAAACCTTTTTTATTTGCAAAATGGCTAGCCCAGCAGCATGCATGATGGCTATAAGTTAGTTTGAGAGTTGGAATAAGAAAATGATTTACTCCACTTATGGAAACTTAATTTTAAAAGCTTTACTAGGGAGATATGTATTGTACTTGCATGATTTGTCTTGTGTCCAGTATAATTAATGATACTAAATTTGCTCTTCTGTTTTAAAAGATAGTAATATCATAGTAATACAATAGTATTATTGATAGTAATATTTATTTTATGTAGTCTACTTTATCAAAAAACCTGTACTAAAATATGCCTGCCAGTATTTCTTCACGGTTTCATAGGGTATTTTCTTAATTGGTCTAGATATTTGGGTACAGATTTTCTGTGCCAGCAGTAGAGGCAATACACAAAACTTCTTTAGTGTTTTGTTCATGTACACATGAGTTTATTAGCTCATTAGTGCTATTGTTGTTTCCATTGTGAGAACTGTTATTAGTTTATACAGAGAGAAAGACAGAAAAACAAGAGAAACATGCCTGAGAACAGAACACTCACATTGTGTTTCTTTTTCTTGTTGTCGGCCCCTCTGATTACAAATTTAGTTTGTCTGATTCTCACGGTGTCCCATCCCTGCCATCCCAATGGCTGTGCTGGGAAGGTTGTACGTGGGCGTTAGTTGTAGCCATTGCAAATCCTCCTCCTTCAAGAAATCTAGATGATTATGCACAGGAAGAAAGAAACAAGTTAATGAGCAAGACGTTTTTGTTCCAAGACCTATTAGCTGCCCTGGATTCCAGGCAGAAAGTATATTAATCTGTCCATGAAGTTCCACAAGTGGTGCTCTGCTGATTTTGGTTCATTAGTCCCTCAAGTTTTGAAACCAGTCTTTCATCTCTTCTTGGGATCTTGCCCAAGGGAACTCATCAGGCATAAGGAGCCTCCTCCTACCCAGTGTTCTAGGCTCATCCTATGAGGAGTTCTAAAGACCTTTGAGGTCAGTGCTGAATGGCTTTATCAGTCTGCTGTCCCTTTCTGTCTTTCTCACCACTTCTGCTATCATTCTGCCTTCATGATCTGAGTATATGGGCAAATTCCTGTGCCACCTTAGGGCTTTAACAAGTGCCACCATCTAGGACCATTAGTGCACAGATATATGGAGAATGAAATAACATAAGTATGTCTTCCCAGCTGGTATTGTTTTGTTCTAGCACAGGCTTTAGTTCTGTCTTTTCCTACTGCTTTCCTTCCACTCTATGAGGCTGTGTCAGAGCAAACCACTTCTCTCTCCTTTTCAGGAATTTTGATAAACAGAACTAGGAATTACCTGTTTCTCTTGGACACAAGAAGAAGAAAACAATAGCTAGTATAGGACTCTGAAAATGGTATCTGTTCACTTCCATGAGAAAGCCATGGTGGTGTGAGAATGGGAATGCTTCAATGAGAAGTTCGCCCAATGAAGTGTCTTTCATTCTGTGTTAGGAAGGACACTGAGAACACAAACTATATTGCATCACCTGTCTACTTTATAGAGTACAACATCCACTCAAACCACCACAAAAGAGGCTCTGACAACTTTCTGTGAGCAGCCATGCACACTGGTTAATCCTCTGAGTAATATGTTAGATGGACCATGAAGTACACCAGATCCCCCTGTGAAACTAAGAATGAATGTAGGATTTATGTAGATGCTACCTTGTCTGGGTTGTGTAGAATAGCTTGTAACAGGACACTGGTTAGCACACTAACATCACCTCCAGAGGAATACTGATACTCATACCAATGGAGTGGTTGTCTTCTGATCAGACACCTGTGGCTAACTTAAATACCTGGTCCTGGAGGGAGGACACTGCTGAAGAACTCCAGCAAATGTAGTGATCTTTAACAGATATGGGAAAGAAAGAGCTTCCAAAAGGTGTCCCCTCCCCAACAAAAAATAGACTCTGCCTTTCAGTTCAAGGATCTGAGCACATAAGCAAGTTACCTTGAATTATCTAGATGGGAACTTAAATGGCAATGGCATTAGCTGCTCTGAAGGGTCTGTCTCTTTGCTTAACTGACCCCTTATTAAGTTTGAGGTAGTTTCAGTGCTGCATGCACTTGGATAGCTGATGTGCTCTAAGTCCATGCACCTGACTTTCCCCACAGTAACTTTGTTCTTGTTAACTGTACTAGGCTCTGGCTTCCCTGAACCTACCCTTTCTATTTATAGTCCCTTTATGAAAGGATACAAAATGCTATTCAACCAAGAGGCACAGTTCAGTGAAATTTAGTCTCTTCCTTCACTTGGCATGATTGAATTTTGACCTGAGTTCTGATGAGAGTGAAGCTTTTGGGTTCTTTTGTATGTGTGCTCTCAAATTTTGTTACAGAACTTGAGGCATAATGTAGTACCCCCCACACTTTAAGGCATCTTGTATAATAGAGAACAAGCAGTCAAAACCAACAGAAGAAAAAGGTATCGAAGAATATCAGAATGAAATTATCAGTTGTCAGATGGTTTTTATTCTTAGTCTTGACAATCAAACAAAGACTGTTGATACCAAGAAGATTATTAAATGGGATGAGAAATTGGGGGGGGAACAACACTAAGGAACAGATTTGTTTCTATTGTGGAGTGTAACTTTTTTCTTTCAAAATAGTAAAAGAGTGATATGTTCCCTTTCCCTTGCTACATGAACACACATATGTAAACAACCTGCACACACATGTGTACATTCATGCATGCTTTCAGGAAAATAAATCTATAATGGAATCAAAAGTAATCTCACTATGTGCTAACTTCCATATGTTATTTTGTCATGGTTATTCTTGAACTGGCTCCTGTCTTTTCTCCCCTTCCTTTCATAAAATCACTTTTTGCATATTTTTCCTTATGTCCCAAGTTGTAAGTTCTTCAAGCCAGGAGCCACCTTTTTAAACCTTTTCTTTAAGTGCCAGCATAATGGTGCCTAAAGTCTAGTTGAGACATTACTAAAATATAACTGTTTATTTTATCTACTTGCTTGATTTAGGATTAGTTTAAAATATGTTACTTATCTGCTAAGTGCGTTCTGAGCACAAAGTCAAGGCTACCAGTGAAATGTTTAGGTAAAGGCATGTATTAAGTAAAAAAAAATAATTGAGCATTTTCATTTTCCTAGGCAACACTAAAATTGAAATCTTGTTAAATGCTTGAAAAATGAGCTAGTGAGACATGAGCTACACCATCACTGCAGTTGGAGATGAACTGGAGCATGTATTGACTTTCTTATGCTAGCTTTAACCAAGTTAGCTCTTGTAAGTAGTAGTAGCAGCTGCGATGCAGTGGCATGGACATCAGGGCAGGCTAGCCACCTTGATAGTAAGCAGTGGAGGTTGAAGGCAGGCTCATACACCTCACATTAAAGCTTTTATTGATACATCTACACTGCTCTTATAATTAACGCTTGCCTACATATGCTGTCATCATACCCCAAATTGCAACACAGATAATAGTCTCAAAGCGTAAGTCATACGTGAGGCTAGCTGCTAATTTACTGGCTGCTAAACATACTTTTTAGAATCTAGTTTTATATCCAAATTCCCAGGTTCCTTCACTTTACCAGGAAGAGCAGCATGTCTGTGCCCAAGTTGACACTTCATGGAGAAGCACCAAAAGAGAAAACAAAAGAGAGCATAGACAGGAGTTGTTTCACAGATTCCAGAGGGGAAGAGTTATAGGTCCTCATGAATGTTAAGGCAGATACTATCTGAGAAAATAAGAGAAAAAGTTGTGGCTAAACAGGTGCCCAATTTATCAAAGCTTGGAAATGGAACAGAGAGCACGCTTATTTGAGAGAAGCAATTCAAGAACTTAAACGGTACTTTTTATCTATGCATGTGTTAAGAAAGGATTTAAACACCAGAAAATAATTCTCAAAAGACATAATACTACCAGTAAAAATTTGGAACTTAAGTCAAATTGATGATTGACTTAATAATAGGAACCCCTATTGCTCTCCAAAGGGAGGTTAAAAAAATCATGCTAAATACCACGTAAACTTTCCAGCTAGGTTCCTGTACCATTCTCTTTTTTATATCACAAGTAAAAATACTTTATATAGAGATAGAGATATCTATATATCTTTTCCCAACAATTGTCTGGCTTTCAATCAATAGGTGAGAAATAGACTGAAGAGGTAAAAACATTTTAGGCAGTTGAAAAAAAATATTTCTAGTTTAAAGCATTCAGTCAATCAATTTCCAGATAACACAAGATTATTTCTTTCTTTTCCTTTATCTACTCTAATTTTAAAATGATCTCAAGCCATGGGTATTATAGTTTCCCAATAGTAGTATTCCACAATCTAAGTCATGTAATTGTCATGAAGATTTGCCCAACATTCAGCTTGTTTTCTTATTGTATTTTTTTCTTACCATTACTGTTTTCTCCATTTTCTTATCCCATTAAATACATCTTTTTCCTGTTTGTTTGCTCAGAAAGTGGAAGCAAGCATTCATGACCACGTAGGTATTAAAATAATACCTTAAATCAACTACTTGCTGAAAGATATGGAAGAATGTCCAACAGCACACAAAACCTTACCTAATTAAGAAAATAGAACACAGTCAGCAAGGGAAGACCTATGAGGCTAGATTTGTACATCTGAAAAGAAATTGATGGTATATCTTCTAAAATAGGTGCTTTTTAAAAATCTATAAAAGAAAGACTTCCCAAAATTTGAAAAGAAAAACAAACAAGGGTAGGGGGGCAAATCTTGAAATGACAAATTTTGAAACAAAACAGAAAGTCAGCAAATACCTGAAAGGAAAGATTAGAGTAGGGCCAAATTCCTTCTTTTCACATGTGAAAAGAGGGAAGATTTACTTCTGAAGTTCTTGAATTAATTCTCTCAAATAAGTGTGCGCTCTGCTCCATTTCCAAACTTTGATAAATTGAACACCTGTATAGTTGTAACTTTTTCTCTTATTTTCTCAGATATTATCTGCCTTGCCATTTATGAGGACATGTAGCTCTTCCCCTATGGAACCTTTGAAATAACTCCTGCCCACGCTCTCTTTTGTTTTCCCTTTTGGTGCTTCTTCGTGAAGTGTCAGCTTGGGCAACAGACATGCTGCTCTTCCTGGTAAAGTTGAAGGTAGCTGGGGAATTGGCTGTAGTACTAGTTTCTAAAAAGTATGTTTAGCAGCCTATGAAAATGGAGTAGCTCCTGTGGAGCTACAGCAGATGACACTAGCTGACTTTGGGTGGCAGTGTCATTCTATTTTGGATTTTTACTTGGCTCAAAAGTCAGGCTATACTTTCCCAAGTCTTATAATCCATGTGGTATTTTTTAATTCACTGCAGAATAGTAATGCAGACTTTGAATTTGTTGCTGGTTTAGGCTGTGCAGGGTCGGTCCATCACCCAACAAGACAGAGATTTGCGAGTTGATTTGGGATTCCGAGGAATGCCAATGACAGAGGAACAGCGACGTCAGTTTAGTCCAGGTCCACGAACAACTATGTTTCGTATTCCAGAGTTTAAATGGTCTCCAATGCACCAGAGGCTCCTGACAGATCTGCTGTTTGCACTAGAAACAGATGTACATGTTTGGAGAAGGTAAAAAAAGTGATGTTTCCTATTCAACTTTATTATATATGTACGTTTGTCAGCAACACAGAGACAATTAAGTACAAACCATATACTGAAGAGTAGTAATCTTAAAGATAAACAGTGATTTATATTGTAAAGGTAACAATACTCAGATATACTACTGTATTTACTCAAATATAAGACTACCCTGAACATGACTGCCCAGTAAATAGATTTTATATATGGAAAATGTATAAGTTTGTTATAATATTCCAGTTATAGAATCGAATTATTGGAGGTTTGCCTTGAATTTGTCTCCCTCCTGCAGCTACAGCAAATAAAATAAATCTGTGTGATCAGGTAACCCCCTTGCCCTTTTCCTCCCCTTAGCTTTTCTACCTGCAGCGCTTCCTCCCCTCCTTACTGTCAGACCCTGCTCTCCCTAACCACAAGGAAGTGAGGAACAAATTTGAAAACACTGACCTTGAAATTTACATACTGTTAATAATTTACATATAGTACCCATAGACTTAGTTCATCCAGAATTGATGCATTGTGCCTTTTTTGAAATTGCTGCAAGTTTTAGCACAGATACTCCTTAAACACTTTTTTGAGAAGCACTTTTGTACCTACTTATACATAGTATAAACTATGTACGATATTAGTTCAAAGTCAAAAAGCTCATGATTTACCATATAGTCAGTTGGGCTGGGCCCCAGCAGACTCAACAACATTTCGAGCCATAGTGACCACACAGCTCAGCCCGGCTTGGTATGTGTGGGTACTCCAGATACCCACACATAGACTTCATGTGCTAATTACCCTTCCATCCCAACCCACACACTCATGACTGTAAGTGTGTGTTCTTGTCATGAGTTCTGGGATCATCCAAAAGTGTATATGCAGATGAGGCATAGGGCAACCTGGTCCAGCACTACCTCATGGAGAGTGGGGCCACAATGATCATATGCAACAGTCTGAGAGAGGGAACAACAGAGGGATTCTGGGCAAACGGGCTCCATTTGGTGATGTTTGCCAGAAATTTAAGGTTGGTGAAAAAATCAGGAATCACTGGAATGGGAAAGAAAGATGCAGCTTAGTTGTGAGAGTGAAGAGGAAGTTGAAATGTATACAATGTAGGGGGTCACTTTGACTTTAAATATTGTCAGTGCTGAGGGAGACTTCAGTCAGTGGGCACTACTACATATCTTATTCAAATGGACTGCGCTAACCTGTCCTTGTGGCCAAGTGTAGGGAGTGTCTAAAGTCCTGGACTAAAGAGTCTGGAATGGAGGATGCTTGCCTGTAGTATCTGGGGGCAGTTGACCTCCAAGACCTCCAGGCTTGGGCCTGCGTGTAGGATGCCTGCCAATAGATCTGGGAGTACCTGAAAAGTCCCGGGGTGATAGGTCTGGGATGGAGGATGCTCATCCATTGCAGCACCATACACGATGTTTAGAAAGATTGAGTTCTGCCTGCTCAATCGATATGGTTTTTGGAATGATTGAGTTCTGCTCAATTGACATGATTTGGAACTGATTTGGCTAATTTGACATGGAACATGAAATATATTATAATAAAAAAACAGTATGTTTGCCCAAAATGGGCCAAACTGCTGCCAAAAGATCATGTGCTCAATAATGATAGACAGTGTATTTAATGAGGCTTCTTTATATATGAATGTAAGACAAGAATTTTTTTTTTCCCCCCATACTGATTTTTGGTGAAAAACCTTGTCTTGTATTCAAGTAAATTCAGTATGTTGGAGTATCTGACATATATCTGAAGCTTTCTCTTTACATTGTGCATTTTTAATGGCAACTACAACTTTAATGTAGGAAGTGGCAATTAAAATGTGGATATATTTTCTCAGTAGCTAAGAAAGTAAATATTTGCTCTCTATAAAACCCTTAATCCTAAGGAGTATGACTCTAAACGATTTATATACATTATGAGTTTGTCTTCTAGGACAATTTACTAGGCAATTGCTTTTTTCTAGCCAATAAACAAGGTTAGTTCTTGGCAAAGATTTCTGATTTTTAAACCAGTAGGTCCATGATTTATTTCTTTGTAAGCCTTGACAGCAACATTGCTACTGGAGATAGTAACTATTGGCTGTTGCATTTGATTTTGTTAATGTATTCTTTTATATTAAAATAGAAGTAACCTTAGCTACATTTTTAAATACATTAGTTTACATTTAGATAACCAAGGAGTTATTTTAATACAACTTTTTTGACTCTTCAGAGTTAAGGGGAAACCCCCCCCCTTTTTCTGCATCTAATAAAAGTCCACACACACACCAGGCACTATTTTCCCCCAAATTACACCATTCATTTTCAAAAGGTTTGAATACAGGGGTGGTCAACCAGTGGCATAGGTAACCTCTGTGTGCGGCTTGTGGCAAATCAGAGAGTTGCCTAGGTAGCACAGCAGGAGATAGGGCAGGAAACAGGAAGCAAAGCAGCAAATCAGGCAGGGAGCATGGGAGAGAAAGAAAGAGCAGCAGATGGGGCAGGGAACACAGGGCTGGGAGCAGAAAGCAGAGTAGCAGATCAATCAGGGCCAGGGGATAGGGATTAGAGTGGCACCTGACATGGGTGTAAACCTTGTCTGGCTAATTTGTGGCGCACATTCCAAAAAGCTTTCCCTGCCACTAGTGTAATATATGAGAATTAATTCTATCTGAATTTCAGCTTGCATTTAAGTGGATTGCTATGTCTCTTATGAGATTGAGCTAAAGCGGCATTATTTTTTATTTTGCCAGTAATCTTGTGCTTTCTCTTTTTACATACCTTACCCAGGGCAGATAAATATACCATATTCACTCAAATCTGAAGACAAGAATTTTTTCCCAAACAACATGGAGGAAAAAAAAGCTGTCTTGGATTTGAGTACCAGCCCAGGGCAGACAGCATCTTGGGGTCAAAGCTAAAGCTAATCTACTGCCTGCCCCAGGCTGGAATGGCTCATTTGGCAGGGGTAGGGGGCTTGCACTTGGGAGGATTGTAGGGGAGACCATGAGGTGGTGGGGGAACCTACAACTTGTCCCCCATCTCTCTTGCCCCTGTGCCTGTGCATGGCCCTCCCACCCCCTGTTACCTGTGTAGCCTGCCCCCTTCCCCCTTATCTTCTGCTCTGGCTCCAATCCCTGCAGTCCTGGCCCAGCCAGGGCTGGAGCTGCTGTCACTTTTCCCTGACCGGGCCAGGCTGGGCTAGTGCTGCTGCTGACTGTCTTGGATGAGTAGAGATGCAGCAGAAGGTAAGGGGAGGTTGGGGTGGGTGATCATTGAGTGGGAGGTAGACACAAGTATAGGGAGGAAAGTAGGGGGTGAAGAGACAGGCATATGTGGTGGGTGGGAGGAGGGAGACACAGGGGTCAAGGTCAGGCACAAGCGTGGGACAAGGGGTGAAGGGGCAGGCTGCAGGATGGAGCAGGGGGTTGGGGAAGTAGGGAGTTTGGGGGGCAGGCACAGATATGTGGCAGGGGTTGCATGGTAGAGGACAGGCCCAGGACAGGTACAGGTGGAGGGGGAGTAGTAAGGGGCAGGGAGAGCATGCAAGGAAGACAAGGGATGAGGGTCTGGCCTCTCACCAAAGCAGTGGGGAAGATAAATTTAGATGACCTTCCACTAATTAGATTCTGTATATAAAAAATGATAATACATTTATAATTCCCCCCACAAAAAAACTAATTATATAGGGGGGTGTCTTAAATTTGAGGTCATCCTGGAATTTGGTAAATGTGGTAGTTTGTGTTTACTTTTCCAGAAGGCAAGGTAGAGGTATACCTTGGAGAGCAAATGAATCATAGGTGTGTGAGCTTTTGAGAGTCCCAGCTCACTTCATCATAAGTACTGTTTGGGGTTATTTCATGCCTCCTTTCTAGTGTCCCAGTATTCCATTTGCTTAATTAACATGTTGTATAATGAAAGGAAGGACATGCATATATGATTAGTAGGTCATGGTTTCCTAAACTTTTTCATAGTGCGTTTTGATTGTATGACTGTTCCATAGAAACCTTTCCACTTATTTGTAATCATGGTCAGTATTTACTGGTGGCATTTATATCTATTGCAAGTGTGTAACTTTAACATTAGGAAGATATTTATGTGCATTTATCTGTCTTTTAATGGGATCTAGCAGCTGGAAATGAGGAAAAACCATGACTAATTCACTGATCAATTATCTACTGATCACCAACAAATACTTTGTAAATCACTGATTGGCTAACACACAGTTCTAAAAATATGACTTTCTTATATGTGTACTTAAAAAAAAAAAAAAAAAAAGAGAGCTTCTTTAAAATAAAGTGTAATTAAATAACGGTAAAAGTTCTGTTACCCTTATTCATTTTGAATAATATCTTATGTCATTAATAGTCTCATTAGTTTCAACACAACTGTGTGGATAAGGATTGTCCAGTCTTGGGCTCTTTAAACCTATACTAGTCTGCATATGAAATTAAAATCACTAAGTTGGTATTTTAGGCCAGTTTCCCTTTATTTTTTTAATATATATTACAGTTGAACTTTTGCAAAGACAACTGCATGCAACTAATAGAAATTAAAATTGTGGCTTCAAAGACTAGGTATCTGACTTTTAAAACAAAGATTGTTTAAATATTGATATGCTTTTCTCTGTTTTTGCAGTCATTCTACAAAGTCTGTAATGGACTTTGTCAATAGCAATGAAAATATTATTTTTGTACACAACACGATCCACCTCATTTCCCAGATGGTAGACAATATTATCATAGCTTGTGGAGGAATTTTACCATTGTTGTCTGCAGCCACGTCTCCAACTGTAAGTACAATATTTCCATCTAGTGGTCATGTTAGAAATTGTTTTAAAGAATAAGTCTTTGTATCCAATTTCTTTGTAGTAGCTTAAAACACAGTTTATTTCTTCCAAAAACTTCAACTATATGAACAAAAACTCTTAAGGGTCAACACATGGAATGCTTATAAATAATTTGTATTTCAAATGTTAACTTTTACTGGATAGCACTAGTTAGAAATAACAGTAGTGCTTTAAGTGTTATATGGTAAATAAGTAGTTAGAAAGGCAAGAATCTTACAAATAGGGTACTCTGTTAAAACGTTGTGGAAGGCATTCTCCTTGCCCACATCTGTGTATCTCTTTTGGTTTATTTTTCTTTTGTTTTGTTTATGGGATTGTCCAGCTACTGAGATTCTTGGAAATCCATAGGTTTTGTCAAATGAAGATAATACTATTGCGATACATAGTATTAAGCATGCAAAGATAAGATCTCATGACCCTGCTTCAAACAATTGATGGGTACATACTGTACCCATATTATTTGTACCATCTAAAATGCCAGGTAGATTTGTTTTATTTGAAGTGATCAAAAACAAATATCATTCAAAGATGCTCTTCTTAATCACAAGAGTAGCATCAGATGTGTAAAACAAACAAAAAAAACAAAACCACACAACAAAAAACCCAAACCAACAACAACCCCCTGCCAAGATTTTCTAGAATATTATATGCAGTGAAAGCTTACAGAACCTTTATGACATGCAAGGAAAAACCCATCAACACATCTTAAAATGAATGGCCACAAAGACACATTTTTCAAAACCTGTTCATCAGGTATTGTTTGAAAATAAAGATGCTTTGTGTAGAATTTTGTTTTATAAAATATATGAAACAGTCATGGTTTGAATTAGTTCCTTTGACGGAATTATGGTGATCTTGGCATCTCTAGCTTTTTTATCCTGATTTATGAAAGTAGAGAACTGTTTTATAGTACAATAACCCTGTAATTCACAGTTGCCCTTTATTTATTCTGGATAATCCACGTGCATCTGTTATAGTCCTATAAATTAACTATATATTTTTTGTAGTATTAAATTTTTAAATTGTAGTAATTGGGCTTACAAAAATTAAAGGCAGTTTTGTTCTCGGACCATATCAAGTTGTATTTAAGTATTTAAACTTGTCATCCTTTTAGGATAGTAAAAGGAAAAAAAAATTGTACTAATTGATTTAAAAAGTCAGTAACTGATGTCAAATTGTAAAGTGATTATATTTTATGGAAGAAAAAAATAGATTACTACATGTACCATTTTTCCAAGCATGTAGAAAGAAAGATAAGATGAAAGGGATGTGGTTTAATTAGGCCACAACTTTATTAATTTAACTTGTCAGGAACTATCCAGTAATAACTTGTACGATGTAGGTCATGATTCTTTCTTTAATTGTTTCCACCTGGTATATCAACAGTACCCTTCCTCAACAGCTGGTTTCCAGCCTGTTGCTGTACCACACCATCCTCTTCTGAGGGCTGGGGAAAAGGGTTTTCTTGTTAATCAAAACTAAAACATCTTGCAGCTTTGAAGAAAGTTTTGTATACATGGACTGCAATATAAGAGTGGGGCTTTTTGGTGGGGGGAAATTAGCATTTTGACTACCTTGATATAGTTGTGCAGTCAGGCGGTACTGATGCTATCATAGATGACATTGCTGGAAGCTAAATCAAGTAGCACTGAATAAAAAGTGGGAGAGCAGCAATTGTTTTGAGTAATAGAGAAAGGCAACCATGGAGACAAGGGAGGTTTAAAAAGTAGTCATAAAGACTTTAAAAAGAAGTAGGCATAAAGGTAAGGGAATCTATATGGAGGTGGACCTGAGTCTTGCTTCCATGTGTTAGCACATCCACAATTTGTAGGTCACATTAGATGTCCACGCATCATAGTAGTAATGCAGTTAATTCACTTATGTGTATTTTTATTTCATTTCTTCTTAAGTTTATTTCTCAACCTTCCAGTTAATTTTTATGAAAGCATGCATTTTATTCCTAATTAAAGACCATCCATGGGTCATTTTGCAGTTTTACGAAAGTATCACCACCTGTCGTCTTTCATGTAATTTAGTTCAATTTCATATGGCATAATAGCCTTAATTTCCACCCCCATGAAACTGTGCCATTGTATCTGGTTCATAATTCATCATATACTTCACTGTTCCATATTGAAGCAGAAGGTACAGTTAATTATTAACTTTATAAATAATTAACAGGGCTGTCATGCTACCTGATCATTATGTAACCCGGTTATACCAAAGGGTGTGCCCAGTCCTCAATTGGATGGGATAGGCGGGCAGGCAACAGTGCTGAGAGGGATGCTGTGACTCAGGTACAGATCCCTCTATTCTCTGTAGAGCCACACCACACAAAGTGTTCTTAATTATATACAGAATTTATTTAACATATAAAGAATTATATACAACTATATACATATATATACATACATCCCAAAGCAATAGATAATATTAGAGAAAATTAACCATTATACATTCTGATACATACACATACTTATTACTATGTTCAGGAATGGGGTTGCATGGGGTATGCTTTGAGAGCGGCCCTCTTACCTAGGACCCCAAGATCCTTAAGGTAAGCCACTAGGACCACAGGGCAATCCTGTGTGGGCCTCCAGCAGGTAAGTACCAGATTCCCAATATAATACTCAACAAATTAAACGACAAGAAAAATAGACTCCAATACAAAATAACAACCTTAAATTAGTTACTAGCTAAAATATAACACAACTCACACAGTATAACCAGTTTACAAAGTATTCGGTACAGCTCCCCATTGTTGTAGGATACACACTCACCCAGTTCTCTGAAAGGAGGGGGTGAGGGCTCCCTTTACTTCAACCCCTCCCCTGCAAAGCCCCTATTCCCTGAACTCATGGTTGTCCTGAGCGGGGATGTGGTAGGCTTGTTTTCCCCCCGTGTGGACTCGGTTGCTGCTCCAGCATGCTGCAGGGGGTTCCTTCTTTGTACGCCAGGTTTCAGCCCCAGGCACCTCCAAGGCTCCGCCTTCTGTCGAGGTGAGGGGTGGAGCTCAGACCACCTTTTCTGGGCCAAGGCCCTGTGTCCCTGTGGGAGGAAAGGGACTGGCAATGCTCCAAGAGCGCCTTAGGGGAGGTGCCCCTTCACAAGGCCCAAGCGGTCTCTCAGCACTCCCAGGAGCAAGGCTTCATGCACTGCGGTGTGCACTGTGTGGAGCTCAAGCAGGCTCTCCCTGTTCCCAGGGCCAAAGCTCCATGCACCAGGGTGTGCACCGTGTGGGGCCCGAGCAGGCTCTTCCTGCTCCAAGGGCCAAGGCTCCGTGCACCGGCTTGTGCACCACGTGGGGCCCAAGCAGGTTGTCCCTGCTCCCAGGGCCGATCCTCTGGCGGTGGCTCCAGTGGCATCTTCAGGAGCCTAGGGCTATCGCCCACTGGGCTAGCTCTCCCCAGCTTTTCTCGGCTCCACTTCTCTTCTCATCCCTTGCCGGTCTGGTCTCCCAGCCGAACATGCTGTTCTTTTATAGCTATCCGGGTCTCCACCTTGAATTGCAAAAGGTCCAATCAGACCGAGGGGCAGAGAGAACCTCACTGGGACCCCTCCTCCTGGGAACTCTGCCCCCGGATTGTAAATGCACCAATCAGGAGAAGGGGGGGCACCCTCTCCTGATTGGTGGAAGAATTTCCACCAATGACTCGGTGTCCTGCTCAAGCTGGCAAGCTGTGCGCCAGCCACGCTGCGGCCAGCATGCCTGCTACATGTAGTTTCTGATGGTGATAATGGTAGGTGTTTTGCTAGATAGGTAATTAGGTTGTAGGGATTTTTTTTTTTATCCATACACATTTGATCTATAATTTTCCTAGTTTTAAGAATTTGTAGTTCCTTCATTGGACTTCACAATCACTTCCATCCTTGGGCAGTTGCAAGTTTCTCCTCACTTTGGTCTCCACTAGGGGATGGCAGGTCATGTCCTGTGGGCCACATTCACCCACAGAGACTTTTCAGGCCCACCAAGCAGGCCAAAAATGTGATATTGCTACAGAACCAGCAGTTCTTAGATATTCTACCACTTTGCACACTCTAGTAGCAGGATATCTAATAACTGAAACCTTTGGCTTCCCTTAGAACAGAGCTGTTAGTTTGGCCTGCTGTTAGTGAAATGTCACTGACCGTGGACTATGCCATCAGATTGTGCTATGGACTTCTTAGTTCCCTCATAAAACCAGTTACAATTTTTTTCCTTAAGAACCTGAACTTGCACTGATATTTGTTGTTATAAGAGTCCTGTTTTGAAAATTATTTTTCCCTTGTTTCAAACTTCCATTTATGAAAAGGGGAGGAGGCACTCTTTCACTTAGCTACTTCCCATTAGCAGAGCAACAGCTGAGCACTAAAAGCTTGAAATTAATTTAAGCTCTGAGCAGAGAAAAGCTAATAGAACAGTTAATAAAGCTTTTAACTAGATCAGGGATATCAGACTCATTCAATTCCACAGGCTGGATGAGAGTTGCTGGCCTGGTCTGCAGGACAGATCGGGCTGGGTCAGAGCCAGGGCTCAGGGCCAGTCCAGCAGGCTCACCAATGCCAACTGTGCTGGCCCACTGAACTGCATGCAGGGTGTCAGCCGCTTAATCTGGAACCAGTGCTGCTGGCAATGCACGTGGTCCAGGGGGCTGGCAAGGGATACACGCTGTATGCAATGCCCTGCTGACCCAGCCCTGCTGCACACTGGTTCCAGGGGCTGTTTGGATTGGGTGCCAAGCCATCCGTGTGTGCCAAAACCAGCACACATGGTTGGGGTGCACCCCATGCCACCTCTGCATGTGTGTGTCCATGGCGCAGGGTCCAACTTGTGTACTGTCTATGGTACAAGCCCTGGAGCAGGGTCAGCCTGTGCTGCCTGTGGTGCGCAGGCTGGACCAGCCACATGTCTTGTATGCAGCATAGGGGGATGGTATGGGGTATGCTGCATGCCATGCTGTGCT